GGCATCATAACAGTAAAAGTGTCCTCCCTTGAGGCCACAGTCTCTCAGAGGCCACGTGTCAGCGAGGTCATGCCGCTGTGTTCCTGTGTCGGCGGGCTGATGCCACGATGGAGCACAGTTATTGTATTAAAAATGCCCTGTGACCCTGTTCCTGGTGTGTATTGACGTGCTGGGCATAATGAGCGTTGGTTTGTCCTCAAACGCAGCAGAACAGCCTAATCAGGGCGTCGTCCAGCCTCAGCCCCGCTCTTATGTTTGGACCAGTCGTCTGTCTTTTTTAAATCTTTACTTTCTACGGAACATTAAGCATCTACGTCATTGATGCATTGGACCAGGTCATATGGAGGTTTTGTTTGTCTGTTTGTTTTTTTCTATTTTTTCTTCTGTTAAATATTCAATATTAACTTTTAAATGGTTTGGTCCAGCGCCATCACAGTTAATACATATGTGTGTATCATAAAAAAATTCCCAAGGAAGGAAGGAAAGAACAAATTTTAACAATTAGGACTTCATTTAGTTGATAATCTCTTGCCTAGAAACTAATCAGACAGTAACCTTTAAAAAAAGCATCTGAAATATCCAGGATCTGAAGGCAATAGAAACCCAAAAGGAAATGTCTTCTAATTCTTCTTAAAAGTGTAGCAGAGAAGAAGGCGCGGTAGAAAGTTAACTCAGGTCAACTGTCTCAGAAACACTGTGGACAGAAACTCACAGCCAGCAGTTAAACATCTGGCCGCGGATGTTTGGACCCTCCTGCTTTACCGTTCCAGTCCGTCTGCGGTCCCCGTCTGCCCCAATAGTTTTACAGCTGCTCTTCACCCTGGATGTTTCCCCTTGAACTCATTTTGATTGGAGATCCTTTTGCAGGCATTTCTTAGCTTTGGAAAGCTTAAACATTCCTGTTACACAGCAGCACAGACTCTAAACAGGCTTAAAAAGTATCGTTACAAATCCGGGTCATTACAGGGCAAAATTTCACAAAGATTTCACATAAAGACACAGGGAGTCCAAAGCTGCTGGTGCCACCATTAATCCATTGCTCATCCATTTTCAGATAGACGGGAGTCTGAGGATGCTGAGACAACTGAAAACGTGCAGCTTTTTTTAACTAGTTTGAATATGAAACTATGTAATTGACTTTTTTCATCTCTTTGTGCTGATCTCTAAGCTGTGGACTTCTGTCTCTACTAGTTCACCAGATCAATCCATCTGACATACAACTGGAGGTGGGCATGCTCCACACTTTTCCATCCTGCTCCCATTTCCTGTTTTCAATCCGTTTCTTCTGGGCGAAGCGCTTGGTTCAATAAAACTCTTCTATTTGTGCACTGATTCCTTCAAAGATTTCACAAAGCGGATCTGTGAAACGGCCCTTTGAAGGAAGGCGTCACCACATTCATTTTCATGAAAAGCAATGTTTTTTTTGCCTGTATTCTTGTCTGTCAGACCACATATAAGGTGCTTTACGGGTAACGGTCAATGTGTTTGTTTGTTTTTCTACGTATTTGCTTTGGTGATTGCAGGTTGCTGTCCAGGATGGCGGCCATGAAGGAGCAGCAGTTCACCGAGGAGAAGCCCCTGCTGCCGGAGCAGAGAGGTGCAGACTCAGACCTGGTCAGTCCCCCTGCTTTACTACCTTTATTCCGTTTTGCTGTCATCCAGCCTCCTGTCAGGGTGCTCACGTGTGATCGCTGAAGCCCTCTTGAACTCATTGCATATTCCGACAGAGATGTTTGTGCTCATTAGCTGAGCTTATAGCTTATAATTAGACAATATGGTTGTTTACCAGCAGAAGAGGAAATTAATGAACTCCATCCAACCATGACACCGCGGCAGCAGCACTGCAAGCAGATGAAAGCTCATTTAAGCTCTGAGAAAGACTGGTGGAGGGCTGAGGGGAATCAAAAGCAGAACAGGGAGTAGGCGGTTACATGAATAGCCCTTATTCCAGTCCACTTATCCAGTAAATAAGCAACAGGTAGTGACAGGGGCTGACTCTTGAGTTCCTCTTGATGCTGGAATGTTAGAAGCGCCAGAGACTCGCCAGATAGTAAAAAACGACCCGAGGAGGCAAGACTAGCCCTTTGATAAACACTCATTATCTCCTTAAACTTTTCCAACAGGCCGTTCTTAGTGAATCGGGCTGGTTATGGTTCCTGCCAACTGTGGAGACAGAAGCAGGGGAACGGCTGGGCGCACTAAATGACCAATTATCAGCAAGCTGTTTTCATCTCCGTACGAAGCAAACAGGCAACAAAATCAGGGGCGCCCGGAAAAAAAAAAACACGAAAATGAGCATAAACAAATGTGGAGTGTTCGTCTGTTGCTGTCGAGCTTCTCATTTTTCGAGAGGCTGCGAATGTAACCACTGACTCAGCGCTGACTCATTATATCGGAGTGTAAAAATGAAGCATTCAGACGTTGTAGGACGTCAAGGTTTTTCCACTCAGTGGCTTCTGAACAATAACATAATGTGCATCAGTATGAATATCTTGGGCTGCTATTGATCAGGGAAAGGTCACTGGGCCTGCTCATTATGACTCACTCTTGGTAAATAATCGAGGCCATCGATTGCTGCGTCATTGATTGGGTTGCGTGTTGCACAACTCAATAAGCCGCTCTGTTTATTGAGCTGTCAAAGACCTCCTCTGCTCAGACTCGCCCAGTTTTATCTGCTGGCTCTCCACCTCACAGCTTATTTAAAGTCTGCAGCCATGGTGTTGTGCAACGGCAACTAAGTGACCTTTAAGAGCATCCACTAAGTGATTGCCTCCCGGCACAAAACACTGGTAAATCTCACCACCGGACACGCTCGGGCCAAAAAGAAGCAAACGATGGGAGGCGATCCTAATAACCTGGGTAGCATGAACACATTTAGTCAAACATAAATGATAATAAAAGAGAAATATACTGTCAAACATGCAGACAAATAAACCTCTCATCTGAAAACTGATCATGTTTCCAATAGAAAAGCATGGTGGTGGAAGTGTCATGTTTTAAAGGACGCTGTTCGACATCTCAATTGTCCTTGTTGGTCACGATTTAAATGTATGTGGAAAAAAAATTGCATTAGGATTCATTTGTACATTTTTTATCTAGAATTAACATTTTGGACATAACCTAACATCTAATTGAGAAGAAAACTTAACTTAAGACTTGTTTCTAAGAGGAGGTATCGGGGAGTGCTTGTCGAACTTGGACCATTCAGATTTGAACAACATAAGAAGAGACAGCAGAGAAGTTAGAATAACAGTTCAGTGAAGTTAGGACATTTAGTAAAAAGTAAATAAAAATGGGATGCAAGTATTGGTAAACACGCAGTATTTAATGTTTAAACTGCTAAACTTGATTGCTTTTGGCAAATATTCACTCATTTTTTTGTTCCAAGCCTGCATCACGTTCCAAAAAAGCCGGGACAGGATGTGCTCTCCCCAGTGTTGCCCTAACAACACACAGTAGGTGTCAGAATGTGGCTTGGCTTTGTTTTCCTGAGATAAGCAGGAAGGTGTTTGATCGTACAGATGTCGCCCTAAAACCCTGTACGCCACTTTCAGCATTAATGAAGCCTCTACAGTGGTGCACACACCGTTCCTCACTTCTTTCAACCTTACATTGAGACACAATGTTCCTAAACTGGACTATTTGCTTATGCAGTTGGCTACAAAATGGCGAAGCTCTCCCATCTTGTTAGTAGATGCTTTTTGTACAAAAGCATGTCACTGGTTTCTAGTTTAACTGTGACATATTCTGCCGTTAGTTCTGAAATTAAAAAAGCTGCTCGGGTTACTGCACGGCCTGCTCTGCTTCCCTCCTGAGTTGCATGCTGGTTTATGGCTGCATGTGGACACAACCTGTTCTTCTGTTCCAATTAAAGGCAGACTGCAGATCTTCAGACTGACCTTTCTGATGACGCTGGACATTTAAAGGCTGAACAGATCACAGAGGGCTCCTTAAACCGTGTATCAGTAACTTGGAACGACGAGCCGTGCCCCTCCCCATCCCCCCCTCGTGTTGACTGTACGTTGCTGATGTGTCTGCTCTGGCTGATTCCCAATAACCACTTTGTGTCTGTCGTTTTGCAACACAGCAGGATAAAGGAGAGGAGGCCGCGGAGGGGCTCCCGTGCCCCGCCAGCCCCACGCCCCCTAACCAACCCCCTCCCCCCCGCCGCCCCACACACCGCTGGCATGTCATCGCACGGCACTGGCTCCGCCAGACCCGCCGTCGGACCAGCGGGGTCATCCCGGTAACTACCAGAGCAAGCAGAAACATCCGACAAATCAAACACACCACAGAGTCAAGGCAGCTAAAAATAATAAGGGGGGGGGCAGAAAACCCAGGACTTTAATCTTTACATTAAATCATCACCACCAGTTACTAGTCGGAGGTAAAAGTTGCCTTGAACTTTGGAAATAACCACCAGTGATGGATGACAAAGTCCAAATGAACGCTGGCATTGGAAGTTTAAACATCTTTTAGGTTTTTTTAAATATAAACTGTGAGATACAATATGAATAACAGTTGTCTATAAACTTCTTTATCCTTAAAAACATCAGATGTTTTTGTACGATTTTTTTTTTGATAAAGGGAAAACAGATTATGGATGGCTGTGCCTGAAGTTTTATTAACATTTGCTGTGTTTAACGATGTAAAATGCCAATTTATAGCTTTCAAACCAAACTTAGCTGCCCTGTTTTTTTCTATAACTCTTTTTTCTATAACAGAGTGCCTTCTTTAGTCGTTGATGCTTTCTAAATGCCTTTAACAGTGATTTTCTTTAACAAAGATTGTTCTTCTTTTTTTATTCTTTGTGAAAGTTCAGCATCGGTTTATGATTAATAACATACAGCAACCTGCATTAACAAGACTTGCAGCCTTCTTACTAAACTATTTGATCTATGACATCCTGGATGTACTCTGAAGTAGTTAGTTATGCTGTCATGGGCAACAGGGAACAGCAAAAAACAGAAAAGTCCCTTTAATTTTCCAAGAGGACTTTATTGTTCACTCTTGATTTAGCTGATGTGAATCAGGTGTGTAGAAGCCGGGAAACATCTAAAACCTGCAGGACAGTGGCCTTCTGGTTTTTATCCTAACCTTTAACATTTCTGCTTGCATCTCTTGTGTGAATCAAGCAGAAATGTAAGAGCTAGTTCGCTTAGTTGCTTGTGTGAAGCACAAACTGGCAGAAAAATCAATAAATAAAACAAAAAATGTACAGGCCATAAAAAGTAGCTTTAGTCTAGAGACAGCCAAGCTATTTATTATCGCCCTAAATTATGTTTGTGTTTGGAGACAATGGCCCGTGAACAACCTGTTCACAAAACAGGAAAACAGAACAGTCTTTGGCCAAGACATTTATTATGTGCTTCTACACTGGGAAATGTTTTCTGTTGCCCTCAGAGACAGAGTCAATAGACCTCAGTCACTGATTTCTTTGGTTGAGGCACTATCTGTGTTTTCAAAAGAGTCAACTCTCTGGCATCAATGACTTCGAACACCAGTAGCATAAAAATGTTAGGGAATAATATTATTTGAAAATTTGACTTATATTTTGGGAATTCATTCAAATCTTGAATTAATTATTAGAATCTTGCAAAATAAGAAAATAAGTAAAAGAAAAAACATTGTGGACAGTTTTTTATAAAGTTAAAAATGAAGCCAAAGGAGAAGATTTTATTGGCCAATCTTCCCAGTTATAATCAACTGTTGTATTAAATTTGACATAAACTAGTTGACTTTTTGTTTATTTCAAATGTTCTTAGCATCAGCTCCATCTTACTGATTTTATAATTGCAGCAAACTTTAAAAAGTAACTCTAAAGTTAATCTATGGCCTCCAAAATCTAACTGGCAAGTTCTTAAGCTAAATGCTAGCAAGCCTGGCTTTATCAAAGCAACTTAGCCTGCTTAGTCAACTTTAGAAAAAAGTTAATATATGTTGCTGATGATTAAATAGTTGAAAAAAGCTCTTTAGTGAATAAAAGTGCAGAGGAAGAAAAAAGAAGACACATTCTCAGGGTTTGCATGTTAAGATGTTTCACCCATAAAAATCAATGTTTAATGCAAAACCAATTTACACTACAAGTTTTATCATTTAACCAGTTGTTTTACATTTGGCCATTAAAATATTTTTTTCCAGCAGCAATGCAAACCTTTATTATTTCACATGCTGAACAGTAGATTTTATCCTCTCTGTACATCCATTTACTTTGTACATTTGAAATCATACAAATCGATTGCCTGATTAGCTCTACCAAATTCAAATCCAGGGCAAAATCTAATTTGATCAAGCCAACTCATGGTCACAGCAACTCACAACAGCATCTTTACAGCACCTTCCCAACATACTGCCTTGTTGTTATGGAGTCTGAAGGGGTTACTGTAGCTCACACAACTATCCACAAATACTTCCCCATTTAGTCCAATGGACAGACTCTCCATAGTCTTCCCCCTCATTGGTGTGAAGCAAAAACCAACAAGTGCCTTGTGATGGGTAGGAGTAAAAACACAGAGAAGAGTGCCACCTGCTGGTCCGACCACCGTACTGACGTTTCCCCTCTAGAAACAGACCCCCCTGCATGAAATCCACAAGAACTGAAGTTGCCCTTTCTCTGTTTGAAAAGAGGAAATGAATTCATTGCATCTCCTCCCCTCGCTCTTCCATTGGCTGTGGTCATGATGCAGCCCCACAACAACTGACGTTTCATTTCAGGGCAGCTTCAGATCTTGTTTTTTACTTGTTGTTTCTCTCTTTTTTTAGGCGTGTCCTTGATCTGCTTGATCACTTTCGTCTTTCTTTGACTTGTTACCGTAGCTAACCGACTAAAACTCTGTTTGAATGTTTCACAGTTTGTGATTTACTCATGAATTTTTTCATGTGTGTCCATCTTTAACGCTCCCATGTTTTCTTCCAGAAATGTCCTCAGAAATCTTCACACGATGTCATGAACTAAAAGCTGTGCATGTCTAAACAAGGGAGAGGTGTCTAACCTCACATGCATGTGCATGTCATTGATTCATTGGTTTGGTGAAGATTTCCAGATGTTCCTGCTCTGTTTTAGGCTTTACAACGACAGCACAGCAAAAAAAAAAGAGAAAAAAAGAAAAAAGAAATAAAGACGTGTGCTGAAACAACAGGGGTTTAGGATGAGTGAACCTTAATGTGTTGAAGAAATAAGAACAAAACCAAACTAACACACATCAGGAAGCATTTTTTTTATGAAGGAGGACATCTTGGTTTAAAGGATTGGTTTACAGATTTTCTTTTTCACCCTAAAACAACAATCAAGTAAAGAAATGACATGAATAATCTTCACAACATGATTATGTCATGAGGTCAGAGCCAAGAAATGTATTAAAACATTAAAAATAAAAACAATAAAAATCTAGAGGGAATGTGTGTAAGCAAAAACAAGACAACGCTGTGTGTAAGACAACAAAGCTGTTCTTCAAGGCTTTCCCAATGAAAAACATGCCCACATATTTGAAAGTATAACGTGATAACAACAAGCAAAAAGCGACTTATATGAAAAAAAGATGTATTCTTTTTAATTGAAAAAGAAAAGTCTTTTATTTTAGTTTTGCAGTTGAAAATCAGGTTTAAAACATTTGGGTGTTTCGACAATGTATCAGGAAATTATCTTAAAACTGAAAGGAGGATCATTGAACCAATCCTTTAATTTGAGTCAAGACCGGATCTCTCCAAAGGAAAAAAGCGCCTCAGCAGAAGGTTTTTCCTCCTGGTTTGTGTCCATTTGATGTTTTATGATATTATTTTCAAAGAGTGCTGGAAAGCTGGGACTCTCACTGGACCAGCTGTCTCTTTGATTGAAGTCAGCCTGTCTTAAATATGTGGAAATGATCTCATCGCTCACCTGGAAGCCGGAATCTGACTCCCAGGACAGACTGTTATGTTCATGCTTCAGTTTGTTTCAGCTCATCTGTGTTTCCTAATGCACATCACTGCAGGGGAAGCCGGCTGTGAGGAGCCTTTGGCTGCTTCCCCGTCTAATTCTGTACTAATTCTGTCCTTTAAAACAGCATCTTTCCTCACTCTTTAACCTTTAGTTGTTCTCAGTTTCCCACTCAGTGAGTAAATCTTTGAGGGACTGACGTGAGTATCTGGAACAAATCACACACAATTACAGGCACTCTGAAAAACAGTCAAAATAGTTGGTAACTTTGATGCAATTCTAAAGGGGCAATCCACCAATTTCAGCCATTTGTAATGTTAATGATGCTACAGATGTCAATATTGTGAATCAGTGTGGAACAATTTGATAAAAGAGACTATTTCCTTTCAAAAGACTGATTCGATTTTAGTTTAGAGGCTTTGAAGCAAATCATCATATGAGAAAAGTCTTAAGTTTCCTTCTGAGTCCTCTGTGTATGATAACATTGTTGCTCCAACTGGATAAAGATAATTCGGCAATTTGGCAAGAAAATGTTGCATTATTGATGAAAACCCGAGGTGAATATGCTGTTTGCATTGTCGGAAACCTCAGATTCAGGGACTTTTTATCTTGATAAGCTAAATTGACCTCTGTCACATCAATTTTGACTCTTTGTTTAAAAAAGAAAAAGCATTTTATACTGACTGAATTGCTGGATTTTACCTTTAAAAAGTTAAAAAGCAGTTGGTATTTTTCTATCATAAAAAAGAAGCTTTATTTCCCATTTAAACCCTTTTTGATGTTGAATGTTTGAAGCTGCTTTTCTCATCTCTGTGTTCTGGAGCTGTGGTGCACAGCTCGAGCTGTCCCCGTGTTAGGCTGCCGGCCTTCAGCCACAACAAAGGACGCCCCCTTCAGGGGCTGAGCAGTGTGTCTGTGTGTGTGTGTTCAGATAGCCTATCTCTTTCCCATTTTAATGTTGTTTTCGTTGTCCTTTATCTGCCCGTCTCTCTCTGCAGGAGAGCTGTGATCAGCTGATGCCGCCAGGCGACTGGAAGGTAGGAGCCCACCCCCCCCCCATCTCTGTTATCTTTTCTTTAAGATGTGTCTCTTGTGTTGTTGTTGTGATGCCCTGTGATGCCTGAGTTAAAAGATGAATAATGTTACTCTAAGCCTGAATATAATGGCTGCCACAGCAGGGAGCTGCTACAATCACAACAACGGAGGCATAATGTTTTTAAATACGGCGTCTCTGCCCTGTAGTCTTTTTATTCAGCTTCTTTATTCAATTGATATGTGTTAGACTGTGTCATCGACCTGTCTGCAAAGTGATGGTGTGTGAGTTTGAATAGAGGGCTGCATGCTGCTGTGGTTGTTAGCAGCTTCGCCTCAGAGCAAGATCCTGGTTTGTTTCCCCTTCCAGGACCTTTATGTGGGGAGTCTGCCTGCTCTGTGGGTACTCTCCAGGTACTTTGAGTTCCTCCCACAGACCAAAACATGCACGTTAGGATTGTTCAAGGCTCTAAATTGCACTTTGGAGTAAATGTGGTTGGTTGTTTGTCTCTGTGACGCACTGACAGCCTGTCTAGGGTGTAACCTGCCTCTCAGCCAGTGACAGCTGGGATATATCAAATCTGTCAGAGGCAGGTATCAGAGCTGATTTGCGTCAGCTTGTTTGAGTGCGGCATGACTTGTTTTAAAGTTTCTCCAACCATTACGCCATCGGTCTCCTGACTCCTGACTGGAGCTGCAGGCTTTTGACAGCTTTAATTCAGCCTAACATGTGGTGAGCAGCAGACAGTTTTCTGTGATAACACCTCTCTCTCACCTCTGTCTTCACACTCAAACCCGACACAGCTCGCAGATGATAAGTCTGAACGCAGGTTTTTTCTCAATGTGCGAATTAATGCTTAAATAACTTTAAAGGCAATGAAAAACCTTTAATTATTCCCTCACGGCTTCATTTTCTGGCTTGATTTTTGTCGTCTCGCACCCTATTTTTAACACCCAGACAGGAGTTTTGTGTCGTGTGATATCTGGATGAAGTGTTTTTTTTATTGTTGCTGCATTGCACGCAGCTCCTATTTTTCCTGAGTTTGGTTTGTCATTAAAGCATTTTCCTAGAATAGGAAATCTGTATGAACGATGTGATTTTGGGTCTTCTTACTGATTCTGGGAATCAATTTATCATCATTTTACCTTTTTCCAACACATTTTTGTCAATTTTGGTCGTTTGGTTTCTCTAACTGTGAAAGTCTGTAAACCTGATGCAATTTGTTGGGTTGTTTCGCAGAAAACATAGAAAATGTTTATCTTTCATCAGGAATATTTACTCAGCTTTAATTTCTTGGCGGTTCTTTGGTCTCTTTATGTTTTTTTTGCGGTCCCTTCTTCACTGAAGCAGGTAGTTTGGATTTCAAAGCCTTCATCCTGACATCAGTGCTTCATCCCAAAACATCAGCTATCGACTGATTGACAGGTCTAGCCCCACTCAGCCTCCTCTCCCTCTTCATTATAAGGGACTTCTTAAAAAACGTATTCCTGATGCAGTCCTTTGCTTACTTAGAGAAAGTTGTTAGAATTCAAATTGTAATGGTGACGGGTGTTTCAGGTGGAGGTCTTGTTGTTAGAATTGTCTTGCAGGTCCTTTTAAGGGCTTCTTTCTGGCTTCTTTCTGGTTATATTAATGTAGATGGCTGTTTCAGAAAGGGGAGAAGATATAGATCTTGAGATGCATTTAAAGCATGTATAGCTCCGTCATCTGTAATAACTACATAGCAGCATATAACTACATAGCATAGGCACTTTACCAATGGTCACACCTCAGCACCCGACCAATCAGAGTTACTGAAGGGAGTTGAGAAGTTGAGAGATGAGAATTTTCAAGTATTTTAATGAGTTGTGAGCGTTTAGGCAAATAGAGAGCTCCACGTTTATTAAATGACCTCTTTTCCTAATACTTAACCCAGGAAGGGAGGTAATATTTGGTCTCTCGTGTGAGAGAAGAATGTTTTTAACACCCTCCATCCATCCCAGCCTCCTATCCATAACTAATGCTATTCATAAATGTGTCTTTAAGATACCTGTGGACTCTCGCTGGAATTCTGCACCTAAACAGGATACAGTTTGATTATAAAGAAACATAATATCTCTATTATTTACAAGTGTTTCAGCTAAAAAACACAGGAACAGAATATAACGTGATGTGTTAAATTTGCCCCACAAAAAGCTCAGAGAAGGCTGATAGATGACGCTGTGTGTGTCTCATGAAATACATTTGACAGGGTGTCAGTGAGGGAATAGCGAGCATATAAAGCAGCAGCTTAAATAGGTAAATGTGGGAAGATTCAGCACACATTGCGGCCCCGTCTTCATCCGACTGCTCGTCAAATGCTCGCCATTGTGTGTTCAACGCAGCCGGGGCCCTGCAGAGTCAGCACGGAGAGAGTTAATCTGTGTGGAGGGAGAGGGAGAGGGGGGGGGGGCAAAGTCAAAGAGAAAGAGGAAGAGATGGAGTGGTGTTTACAGTTCAGGCAGTCAGCTGAGCAACCTGTTAGCAGGAAAGGGGGGATAGACCGGGGTGAGAAAAGAGGAGATGGAGGGGAATAAAAAGGGGGGGGGGGTTGTTGGAGAGGGAGGACAAAAGGTTGGTTGATGAGTGTGGAGCGCAGAGCAGAAGGAGAGTCTGCAGTCAGCAGGCACCATCGCAGCCGTGTGGACGTGCACGTACTCCTCCCCCTCCATGTTTCATTCAGCTTCAACCGGAAAAACAAACAAAGCTGTAATTTTAGTGCATGAACTCCACTCAGACGCATTAAATCTGCTTTTACCAGCATTTTCCCCACTGCAGCAAATCCAACAGCAGCTCTTCCCAGATGGGTCAAATCCTGTTTGTCCGAGTGTGCACGCATACAATTCTCCAGGATATTCAAAACCAGACAGCCGGGGAGAAAACCTGCTCATGCTTTTGAAGCAATTTAGTGTTAGGAAGCAGTCAAAGAAAGCCAATAAGCTGCTAAGAAGTGTCTGATTGTCCTTATTCTCTTTCCGAATGAACAGTGAAGACCAGCCTGTTGGTCACCTGCAGCCCTCTGCACTGCTGTCCGGCCATCCCTCAACCTCTGAGGCCCATTTTACTTCTGCATTAATCCTGACAACTAATGCAGAACATGCTTTTGTACAGGCAGGGACATGTTAGGCATTATATTTCCCATCTTTAACAAATAACTTCTGGTGCCTAAACAGCCAGTGTAATTTCACAAAGGTTTTTAAATGCCATTCACACATGTTTTTTTCTCAGTGGTTGACAACAAACATGTAAAAAAAAGACTAAAGAGAAAGTCAACCCAGCTTAAATCTCTTCCATGCTGTAGATGGCTGCTTTTTGTGTGTTTTAACGGCAGATATGTGTATTAAACTTATTTGAAATGATTTTACCCATAATTGTTTTTAGACACGTTCATATATTGCTCCCTAGTTTCATCTTGTTTGAGGAGCAGTTCTCCAGGGTTTCTTTCAAAGATTTCCTTTAGGAATCAAACACTTTTTCAGTCATTGTCAGACCGGTTTTTTGTGGTCACCCAGAACAACCAGCTCTCTGTGTTTCTATTCCACACTGACGGGTGCGGGTCATTACAGAGGGACTACAACAGCCACCCTCAGGTGTCCTGGTATTCGCTGATCTCAGACTTTTGGTTTTTGCTCATGAGCCTGAAGCAGAACAAGGTCGCAAAGGAAAGGAAGGGAGACGATACCGAATGAAAAAACAGAGCAGTGGTGCTGATGAGAGAGCGGCTGAAGAGGGACAGCGCAGCCGGCCAATCACAGGCCGAGCAGCCGGGGATGGGGGAGGGACGGGCGGAGGAAGAGGAGGGGTGGAGCACGTAGCATAAATGTGAGCCTGAAGCAGAGCAGAGCAGACAAAGACTCTGCAGCTCCTGCGTCCAGCTCTCCTCCCCACAGCCACTGACCCCCAGAACCTAGTCCTCTAACACAGGAGAGGTCTGGCTGCGCGGCTGCTCCCTCCTCTTCCTCCTCTTCTTCATCGCTGACCGTGCAGAGCCATGCCTGAGTGCTGGGATGGGGTGAGTGATGGAGGAGTGGGGAGGGAGGGGGGGGGGGGTTGTTTACAGCGCAGTGAATTATTTAGTGCCTGGGAATTTCTTCATTTCTTCATCTTTTGGTTTTTAGGTGTTGCTTTTTATGCCCTAATGTTTTTTTTAAAAATCCCACCGTTTCGTTCAGATTTTTTTCCGCCCCGTCCGCTCTGTATTAAGAGGGAGAAACTGCAGAATCAGAGTCAGCTGGTGGGTCATTCTTTGAATTGCCCCACTGACACACATTCGCTCTGTGAGCAGAGGAGCGTTTGTGTGACAGCAGCTGCACTGATCGTCTCAAAGAAGACGAAAAAAGGTGTGTGATGGATTCTGCTGTTTCATGGCAGGGCAGCCAAGATGTTTGCTCATCTTTTTACTGTTTATCTAAAAAATCATGCAAATGGATCGATGAGATCTATGATTGGGAATCTTGGATTCCGGTGTGGATCCTTCCGGTTTTCTCCTGGCCGTCTGAAGGTCACGAGCAGCTCATTTTCTTGTTAAACAAATTTGGAGTCCTGATTACAGGCAAGGCGTGACAAAATCTGTATGGATTAGGATTAGGATATATCCCCCCTATATCTCCCTTCAGAGGGGATTATACAGAATCCTGCACCTCCGATTTGTATGCTCTTTTTAGGGTTTTCAAATAGCTGCACAGCAAAGGTTGTTTGTGTTTGGAAAAATACCAGGCAGCCATAGAAACTGACTGCAGAGGGCCAGCAGAGGATTTTCATCCAGGAATGAGAAATGGAGACTATAATGCTGTAGGGGGGGGTAAAGGCTGAACCAGAGAAAACGATGCCACCCTGCTCTGTGTGCAGCTCATGGTAACATTTACTCGTACCTCCATTTTGAGTTTGTTTAGCTGTGACCAGCTGAGATCTTTTTCTCTGCGTCCTTTTACAGCTGCTGCACTGATCTAATAAGCCTTCATTGAGCATGTCATCATTTTTTATTTGAACATCTTTTTTGCTCTTTCTTAGTATAATAAATCAAGTTTATTTCATGATCAGATTTTATATCTGCTGTGAATTTCACTGATCCATGCAAACTCATGTTCAACAAAGAAATCGTGAAAAAGACAAATAATATCAGCATATTTTAATAATAAAAGGTCCTCTTAAACAGGAAAACAATACCAAAAGTCATAGAAAACAGTAGTTATTGTTGCAAAGCTGTCTCATCTTCAAATAAGGCAGCTTAAGGCAAGTTTGAAATGAAATATGCACTCATTTTAAAGTAACCCATGTCTAATTATTTTGGAGTAAATTTGTTTCAATAATGATCGCCCTACTTCTAATACCCAACTGAGACCTTGCTTTTCTGTTATAGAAGATTAATGAGGAACATGGCGGTGCTAATTGGCTCTTAATGACTCTGGAGCAAACTCAATAAGGAAGCGGGTTAAATTAAAAGCGGTTGACACATATGTGTGTGTCAAATCACAACAAGAAACACTAGAGAGGACGGACTGTTTAGGCCCCAGCTGAGTGTGCTCTTGGTGTCTTGCAGGAACATGATCTTGAGACCCCTTATGGGATGCTCCATGTGGTTATCCGAGGGGCACCCAAAGGAAACAAGCCAGCAATCCTCACCTACCACGACGTGGGGCTGAACCGTGAGTATTCGCCTCGGAAAATGTGCCTGTTTCTCAGCTTATTAAAGATGATAATTGGGATGTTTGTTGCTTTCTGACCTCCCTGCCCACAGACCAACACTCAGTGTCACTGTCAGAAAATGTTCAACTTGCCCCAAAAGTCTCAAAGAGACAGTACCTAAAACAGAACATTTCAGACATCTGGGTGGAGAGGCATTTTCACCTTAAATATTTGGTCCAATGACCGTAGAGTTAAGTCTGAGAAAAGTGTTTCAATTCAGCCTATTAAAACATAATGTTGTTTGAATTCTCGAGACGGAACAATAATTCTTCAACATGTGAATGTAAATATGAAGCACAAACATTAGAAAAAACACAAGTTGATTAATAAGCTTTTTATTTGGAGCCAGCGGAATAAACAAATTAACTGGCGTGTAAAAGCCTCAATGAAATGACAACAACTTTAAAACCAGCAAAGCGGCTTAACAAACAAGCAGAAATGCAGGATTATGACACTTGTCAGCTGACAAATAGACTGAAGACCTCACTGAATCAAATAAAGAGTTCAGAATTAACCTGATGAAGTCATCAGGTTTATTAATATTCAGTGAAAGAAAAGGATTTACTCATCATAAATTGATAATATGGTTTCCGTGTTGCCTGGAGATCACCTCAAGCTCCGTGTTGATTTTTAATAATGTCATTTTGCAAAGTCATCCCATGCCCCTCACGCCAGAATCAACACAAGCCAAGAGGTTTCGGATCAGATGGGACAAATGAGGCTGGGTATTAGTGACGGGAAAAATAATAAGAGACACAAAGAGGCTCTGGGGGAGAGTTTGTCCTGTAATGCGACGACGGAAATAGAAAACAGGAGGAGATGAAAGGGCGAGCGTGAGAGGCACGGGAGAAATGTAGGTCAGAAAAACATGCCTGTCCTGCAGAGATGCGGGGCGGGGCCAGCCAGCAGCAATGCGGCGCTGCTGTGACGGGTGGAGGTGGGATAAAGATGATGGAGGTGGGGGGGGGGGGGGGGGGGGGGGGTTTGGGAGCACTGCTGACTGCTGGTATGACTGCAGATATATTATGGCCTGGCCCACTGCTCTCTCCCAGCTCCTGTTTACTGTCTCTGTCGCTTCCACTAACGACACGGCCTTTCCACAAATAAAAGGAAGCAGAATGTTAGGACAGAGCCAGCACAAAGAAATCCTTTGGACCAAAAAGGAGCCTGCGTTTTCCGGCTGCAGAGCCTTTTAATACGGCTCTGCGCATCGTCAAAGAGGCGGGAGGAAATATGTTATACTTCACATTGAAGTGGCTCCTAATGAGCAGGTGGTACGACAGTCTTCTAGGTCCTTGATTAAAAATAGAGACCTGAGAATAAGAGGCTATAGGAGCGGGAATATAGAAAAAAGAATACAGAGATTAGAAAGGAGAGAGCAGATGGTCGATTCAAAAGCAGGAAGAAGGTCACGTCGCAGGAAACCTGAGTCCATCCGATTGCAGAGGAAGCACAGGATGAGGAGAAGCTGAGGGGAGGAAAAGAGGAGGGATAGTAGGAGATAGTTTCATCAAGAGGGGGACAAAGAAAGTACAGAGGCAGAAAGTAGGTCATGGAGTCAGTAGGAGCCCAGACTGCGAGCCCGGGCCGATGAGTCGGCCTGTTTGTGAGGAGAAATGTCTCACCTCACTGAACACGCAGCATCGGGGCTTTCACGAGCCCACAAAGCTGAAGAGCGAGCGTCCACCTCTCCCGGCCTCTCCCGGCCTCTCCTGCTTTGCATCTCCGACCCAGTTGTCGTGTTAATTGGTCCGTTTAATTAACGCTGCAGTCGGAGCCCGAGGAACAAACCCAACGTTACTGCGCGCTTCCACAGAGTTTGACACATATGGGCTGAAAGTAGGCCAACTGCATAAGGAACGGTAGGGGGGGGGGAGAGCCGACATTATAGATGAGGCTATTTTAGAGTGTAATGATTTCCATTGCGCTTCGAGGAAGAGAGCCACAGAGCTGTGGGTTTGATCGTAATCCTCAGTGAGTCACTCTCAAAACAAATCAGTTTTGTTTTGCCAGTACGAGCTAAAGAGATGTTTACACAGTTTTAGTATCCATTCCTATGGGTAAAAATGAGCCAAATGGGAATGTTAACCCCAATGTGAGTCAAGATCTATAGTTATAGTTTTTATTCTCAATTTTTTTGAAGTGACACTTTTGATTTCTTCATACAGCTCTAGAATACAGATGATAAGCTCAGGGAAGCTCAGGAAGAGCCCAGGTGTTGGTGATATTTTTTTCTAAATCCTGTTGTCATTATTGCTAATTAACAATATAAAAAAATGCACACAGTGTTATTTGTGTTGTGTAAACTTGACTCTGAATGAGAGGATGAGCCGTCCAGTTTCAAACAGGACACATTTCTCTTTACCCAGCTTTTTTCTTCAGGTGCAGGGCAACTTCATTATTACAAATCTTTGTAATTACAAAAGAACAAGACAAATGGGAACAAGAGTCGACATCCTGGTTACTGGCTGGTATTTTAACGAATGAATGAAAATGAGCTGCAAGTGTTCAAAATCCAAACAAATCCAATCAGATAACTGTATCTGACATACCAAGAAACCTCAAAAGTCTAAAAAATGGCTCCAGAAAAACAGTTTTAATCACAGCAGTGTCCAGTGACCTCCTTATTTTAACCTCCTGATTGTATGAGGCAGCTCATACAGTCTGATACTATACAAAATCACATGCAGAGTGATTTATAAAGTGGTTCGTTCATAAGCCCTCACCTTCATAAGTGAAGGTGAAGGCTGCGTGTCAGATGCGTCGGGAGGCGTCTTTGCCTCTCCGGTGCTGGCACAGGATCAGCTGGACAGATGGCCACCTTCAGGACCCCCGCTGAGTGCGGTGCATATCTAATGTGGTCACGTTCTTCTCCCTCCATGCTACCTGTCCTTTTTTCTTCCCCCTCTCCAGACAAGCTGTGCTTCAACACTTTCTTCAATAATGAGGACATGCAGGAGATCACCAAGCACTTTGTGGTGTGTCACGTTGATGCCCCGGGGCAGCAGATCGGAGCCTCACAGTTACCACAAGGGTACGAAAACCGACAGCTCCTCTAACTCTGAGGCATTATTCCAAACCAGGAATAAATGCTGACATGTTCATTGTAAAACATGCAATGCAATTAAGCCATATACATCATTTAATTGAGGGGTGAAAAACTTGTTTTCCTTTGGGTTTCATTTTATTACTGGCTTTTTCCGCAACTATAACCAACTATAACCAAGTCATTCATGATAAAAAGCAGGATTTTTTGGGTGATTATTCTTTTATAGTTTTACTCAATTGTATAGCCGTTATCATTACATATTTTTGCCTCTTAAAAGCCGAGGTCAACATGTGATTTTAGACAGTTTTCTTTCTATCCGTCGAAGGCTTCACATGGAATTTACATGTTTGCTTTAAAATGTTCATTATAAATAGCATTTTAAAAAAAAAGTCATTTAATTGCACAAACTTGGGAAACAGTAATGTGTGGTGTCCTCTCTCTTTACAGCTACCAGTACCCGACCATGGACCAGCTGGCCGGCATGCTGCCCACTGTGGTGCAGCACTTTGGGTTAGTGCTGATCATGTGTTTAACCTGTGCCTCACAATCAATTCAAAATGGTCACAAAATACAGTACATTTATCCTACAACGATGAGTAGAAACACTTTGTATCATGAAGAGTGAAACATTTTGGACGCCTGTGTAGGATAGTGGGGAATTGCTCAGATTTCAGTAGAATAGCAGCCTGATTACAGCACCTGAAGGAACAGCTTAGTTTCCATCTGGGTAGCCGTCTGCATTTACACTCCGGTTCTGGTGAATTATCGCAATTCATCAAATAGAAATACATCTAACGGTTTGATTCTTTTATCCAGATTCAAGAGCATCGTTGGGATCGGAGTTGGAGCTGGAGCTTATATCCTGGCCAAGTTTGCTGTAAGTCTGACACCTAGTGACCCACACTCTGACCATCTAATTAACTTGTTCACATACTTTGGTGTTTCTAAGCTGTAATAATTGAGTTTTGATGCCTCAAAAGATATCAAATCAGATATAAAGTCTTGTGTTTTTTGGGAGACTAACTCATACTGTGACTGTCTATCCAAACATATCTAACCTACAAACATCTAATTCACATATCTGTATCATTTGGGTTATTGGTCATTTTGGGAACTGTATTTTTTGGTCATCAGCATTCCTTTCTTTCTTCTTTTGTCTCTTCCGGCCTCAGCTGATTTTCCCTGACCTGGTGGAGGGTTTGGTTCTGCTCAACATCGACCCAAACGGCAAAGGATGGATCGACTGGGCTGCCACTAAGGTGCGTGTCCAGAGCTGCACACTTTTCCTCTTCTCCCATACCTTCTGTTTATTTTCTCCCCCTGCTGTCTCCCCAGCTGTCCGGTCTGACCAGCACCATCCCAGATGTCGTGCTGCCACATCTTTTCAGTCAGGTAATCTTAAGTCCAAAGCAAATTACCTTTTTACTTTAGTTTTTCCAATATTCTCCCAAAGAAAAAATACACCAGCCAGGGTGAAACAGCAAAACATTTCCCCACAAAAAGATTTTTTCAGAACAGGATATTTTGTAGAGATAATCTCTTTGTGTAAAGTTATTTACACGTAGGGTTAAACTCAAGGTATTAGAGGCAAAAAAAGTTACTTTTTTAAAGATTAAACACGTACTAGTAACCATTATATTAAGATGATCTTTTTACATTCTTACCGGTTCAGGAATAAATATGTGTGTCATCTCCCAGCTTACATTTGTGTTTGTGTGCAGGAGGAACTGATGAGCAACACAGAGCTGGTGCAGAGCTACCGGCAACAGATCAACAACACGGTCAACCACTTCAACCTGCAGCTCTTCTGGAACATGTACAACAGGTGCCTCCACGTCCTGTTTCAATCATCTCAGGCTCATTTCCTGAAGACTAAACATCCTGTTCCAATTAAAAACTACATAATATATCCAATGCATACTCTATTTTTCAACTTTGTCTCTTTCAGCCGGAGGGACCTGGAGATGAACCGCAGTGGGACGGTGCTCAACGCCAAGACCCTGAAGTGAGTCCAAACAACCCGACCGGCTCAGTGTGAATCAGCTAAACAAAGATCAAAATTACATGAACGTTACAGATTTTTTGGCAACCATTGTCTTCAGTGTCTTGCCCAAAGAGACTATTTCACACGTTCAGCTCCAGGTACAGGACACTGAGCATGTCAAGTAGGCAATGGTCGCCCTGATAACTTTTGGACCACAATAGATATTGCAAATCTGACTGCAATAATCGATTTCAGAGATAATTCTGATCTTCTTTGACATGCTATACGACCACCTTCCCATTGGAAAAAACTTGCCCTTGATGCAACATGGCCGCTTTCAAGATGGCGGCCATGTTTCGCCTCAAGAAGGGACCGTGTAGAATCTTTTTCCTGATTTACCACCTACACCTTAAGCTTTAAAAAAGCTCAGAAGAAGAACCCCCCCCCCCAAAAAGAAAATATGCTAATATGCCAAAACTCTAAAATGAAATATATACAGTGTATATACATATACAATCTATTTTAGTTAGTTCAAACGCATTTCCCAGAGCATACAGAAAATGTAATATAGATATGTTTACATTTTGCAGGTGTCCCGTCATGCTGGTGGTGGGAGACAACGCCCCTGCTGAGGAGGGAGTGGTGAGTCCACGCTTAAACATCCTCTTTCTGCAGGCACAGGTCGCACCAAACTGTGCAACATGAACACCATCATAGTGAAGTCTCACGGGCGTGCAGAGGAAATCATTTGTTAGGAAACCAAAAGTAACAAAGTAATGACAGCAGGAAAAAGGGAGAAGAAGAACGATAGTATGAAAGAAGGAAAGAATGAAGGAGTTGTGGAAATAAAGGAGCGTGAGATGCCTTGTGAAGGTTTTCAGGAGGATGAACTCTGACCTTTTTCTTTTGGTCCTCCTCCCTCAGTTTGTTCTTCTTCCGGTGAACAGAAATGTCAGTCAGCAGAGGACTAGTACCTTCTGACTCTGCCACCCCCCTTCCTCCGTGTGTGTGTCTTTAAGGGCTACTTGTGTTAGATTCTACAGGTGTGTGTCTGTGCGTGTGTCCTCTGGGGGACAGATGGCCTCTCTGGATCTCGGGGCTTTTTTCGAATCAGAAGCCGCCCAGAAATGTGGGTTTCCGCTGCGGTTAATGTGCCGCACGCTCAAACTCAAATCGCATCGCTTCTCTGTCAGATGGAGGCGGGCGAGGAGGGAGGCTGGAAAGAAAGTGAGAGAGATGGAGGGATGGATGGGAGGAGTGAGGAACCGAGGCCGTCTTATTCAGCATGACAGATGGAGGTCATGTTGGTATCTGACATCCAAAGCGACTCCGCTTGGCTTCATTTCAACTGCAGAGACGACAATTTGGCCCCTCGTATTTCATTTCCTGGATCTCTTTTGCAACCCTTTTTGTTCCGAATTTGCACAGTTGTTATCAGACTGAAAGTCTCTTCATTCTGTGCTCGGACGCACACATCCCCTGCATCCTATCCGTGTGCTTCCGCTTCTTTAGCCGCTTCAAACTGGGTTATTTAGCCATGTGTGGAAGATTAAACAAACAAATGCGGCACAGAAGCCGAACGCTCTCATGTGCGTGACGCTGCCTCTCTGTGCGTCTGTCATCTGAACACTCATGCACAACATCTGCACACATCTGTCTGACCCGCGCCTACTGCGGCGGAGTCTGGCCCAGCTGGAGTGAGTCAGCTCTGCAGCACGCCGCCGCATCTGGGTCAGCGGCTTCTGTGACTCCAAAGGACGCCTGTTTTCACAATTAAAATGAACGCTGATGAGACGTTTGCGTTTGTTTCCGGTCGCGGGGAGAGACTCGGTTCATATCAGGGACTCTGGGTCACTCACTGAAGTCGTCCGGCTCACTGGAGTCGCCGTTGGCAACGACTGTTGATAACGACTGTTGATAACGGCAATGAAAAGTAGCTTTTGTAGTGTTGTAGTGAAGATGAAGGATTCAAAATGCAGACAGGAGCCGACAGGAAACTGCTTCAAGACAACTCATTCGAAAATTCTGTTTTTGTTTCTGTCTCTTAGGTCGAGTGCAACTCCAAGTTGGACCCCACCAACACCACCTTCCTGAAGGTACAGTAACTCCACCAGCAGCCGCCGCTCAGTTAAAGCTTAAAGCCAGCCGATTTATGACAAGCTATTCAAACAACCCCTGCGACAAAATGACCACATGACATGCAAACAAAATAAAATCAAACACAACATCGCCATTGGGAAACAAAATAACAAAACAAAAAAGAGGCTGACGGAGAAGAAAAACGACAAAAAGACAAAGAAACTGTGGCACTCCTGCTAACTGCTGATCTCTCATTACAGATGGCCGACTCTGGCGGACTCCCTCAGCTCACGCAGGTAACCAACCACGGAGACAGAAAGGCCAGGCAGACCTTGAACGCATCACGTGCAAAGTGAGTGATGAAAAACTTGTTGTCTTGCAGCCCGGCAAGCTGACCGAAGCTTTCAAATACTTCCTGCAGGGGATGGGCTACAGTAAGTACCAGCGCGGGCGTCTGCCCGTGCTCAGAGACTGAATGATGATGATGATGATGATGAATGAGGGCGGCCATTTCTACCGCAGGCGTGAATGAGTGATGTGTTTAAAGCGGAGGGACGTGGACTGTGTTAATTCTGCCCTCTGTCTTCCTTGCCCCGTTCTCTCAGTCGCTTATGTGAAGGATCGGAGGTTGAGTGGAGGGCCAGGTACTTCCCCTCCCCTGTTCACCTCTGACCTCTCTCTCCTGCCCCGTTTGATGGCGTTTGAAAATTTCCTTCTCATTAATTTTTGGTCCATTTCTTTGTTTTCTAATGAAACTTTTGGGCTGTGATGCTCCGTTTTACTTTCGCTCTCATCTCTGGTGCTTTATGCCTTTTTTTCTCGGGAGCATTGAACCCAAACCGTTGTTTTATCAACACATTTTTTTCCTCCAGAGGAAAAATATATGCTGCCCCCACACCTCCTCCTTACCCCCCATCTCTTCACCATTACATTAACCAGCACTGCTCTGTGCATGGCGTTCTGCTAGCTTTGAGCTAAGCCCTCAGCTGACGGCACATCACCAATCTTTAAACAAGCTGATGAAAATCCATAAACTCACCAGTTTAAGGGTGCATCTTCTGTGTGAAGCTTTTGCTGTGGATCAAGTTTCCACAATTTATAAATATCTCTTCTAAAAGGGGGGCATTAAACTGAACGTATTTGATTCAAAATCAATACTTGCAAAGACAAAGTTACAAGGACAAAATGAATATTTTTGTTTTAAAAAAATCCAGGTAGGTTTTTTTTTTGTGAGAGCAACTTTTAATCTGCGTGACTTTCCAGTTTAGGGTGACTTACACACAACAGACTTAATAATGGATCCTTATGGTGTGTTCAAGAGCCACTTTTCTGCTCAGATATGAGGAGATGTAAAAAGGGATTATGTTGATTCTGGTTTGGTTTATCAGGGCCTTTAATGACGCTTTGATATGAACTAAACTGACCTAGAAATACATTTTTGACCTTTAATGGGGCACATGATCATATTTGACAATTTGCACCTGATTTCAAAGTTAAACCCATGGCGACAGAATCAAGGGTCAGATTATGTCACAGCTACAACCAATCAGAAACCAATCAAACTCCTCTGTGGTTTGAGTTTTTAATCTTTACGGTGGTCATGAGGCATATCAAAGAAGACCAGAATTGTCTCAGAAATCGATCACCGCTGGCAAATTTGCAATATCTTAACGAATATCTCTGTGCAGACACTTTAGCAGCTTTCAATAACAACCTAAAACCACTTCACGGGTGTCCTTTGACCCTTTCGGCTGCCTTTTTTTCTCACCGGCTGCAGAGAGGGATGTTCTCCAGTTATCCACATTAGCATGTGCTCCCTCCATCCCCCCCCCCCCCCCACCTCAAGTGAATACACGATTACCGAGCGACAAACTGCCGGCTGACTCCTGTTTTTGCCCCCCCTCCTCGAAGTGCCCTCCGCCAGCATGACCCGCCTGGCTCGCTCCAGGACGGCCTCCCTGACCAGCGCCGGCTCCATGGAGGGGAACCGCTCGCGGGCCTGCACCAACTCCGAAGGCAACGAGGGGGTGGGCGCGGTCACCCAGACCATGGAGGTGTCCTGCTGAGGAGCCGGGGGAGAAAAACAGGGGAGGGGGGAGGGGCTCAGGGGAAGAGCAGCATTAGCCTTCCCTCCTGAGCCCTCTGTCCGCCATCCTCCCCCCATCGCTGTAAGATACCATACGTATTGTCACTAACATCCTCACCTCTAAACTTCCGCCTCGGCCCCCCCGTTGGCCCCAACACCTGGGGGGGGGGGTGCCAAACGGGGAGAACACAGAAAGTGTTACGCATGTGCGTGTGTTTAGATTTTTTCTTCTTTTTTTTTTGGTATGTTTTCTGGGGTGGGAAATTGTGAGCATCTCTCTCTGTGATCTTTGTCGGGGCAGTTTTCTCCTAACAAAAGCGAAGAGTGACCACGGTGATTCCAGCAGACAGCAGAACGCCGCCTTCATCACAGTCGAATCCATCCGTAGCTTTTAGAGAAGACCCGGTTGCTTTTGTTAGTGTGTAGTTAGAAGGACGGCGCACTCTTTTAAAACTGCACCCGGGTCGGTTTTATGTAAGAGCGATAATGAAATATGCTCTGTGTTCTCTAACCTTCTTAGTACATGCAAAATTCCACCTCTGTGGCGTCGTAAACCCTCCCTTTGTGTGTTTAATATGTCTTGGACGCCGTCTGAGATGCTGTAAACAGGAAATCAGACCGCACACATTCATATTCGCTCTGACCCTGATCCCCTACACCACCGGGGAGCGGCAGCTTTCATTGCCATGCAGACATGGCTCCAGTGTTGCGTTAATCTTTACTTTGCGGAGGAAGACAATCTGGAGGAGTAAACTGTTATAGGAGCCTTAAACTAAAACATAGACATGTGCAGAAATGGATGCATAGATATCCTCAACATATATATGCTTAGTATTACATGTTTTTCAGTTCTTTTGAGCTTGTTTTCTTCTTTTTTTAAAGAAACCTATTAATTCTAGCATGTCTATAAACGTTTATATATGAAAGTATTTCAGATAGCGAAAAGTGTATAATCACAAAGGCAGGGCTGAAAATGGCCTGATGTTGTTGTGTTAGGCTTAAAAAGCCTCCATGTGCTCTGCAATGGGTTGTTCAGGCATTTCTCAGCCTGTGACGAGACTAATAACACAAATCAATCAACGTCGCATTAAAACAGCAGACACCGACCAGTCTGCTGAGCGAGACATCAGATGCTTCTGGAGGCCCAGTTTTCCTGGTAGAAACGCCACCTGGAGCCAAACGGTACAAAAATCCCCGGTGCGGCTTTAAGCGCTGTGTGTCACGTCGTGTTTCTGAGCCCGTGTACCCCGTTGATCTAGCATAGAAGTATCTGTTAACACGTATTTGCATGTTAATGTGACTGTAGTCTTAGGGCGTTTTAGTCTGAGTAAACATCCCAGAGATGTTTCCATCAGCCTGTAGCTGCACGGCCTGCATGCGGTTCTGTCTGTAGTCGGCTCTTTGTGGTCTCTGACCTGACAATCACACTCTGACCCCAACCAAACCAAAACCGGAGCGAGGGGAACCGAGACAGGACCGGGCCCGAACCATCTACCCAGAGGTTCCCCTTACAGCGCCCGGCCTCTCAGCGCGGATATGCCAAAGCTAATGCACAAGTTCCCCCCACACACTGAGTCTCTCCCGCAGGGGGAGGCTGCGTGGGCTGGGTTCTGTGACCGAACGGCGCCAAAGAAAACGAGAAGGAATCCATCGCTGTGTGGTCACCCGGTGTTTTAACGTGCCATGTTCCCACCTGTTTAGTGCTTTTAGTGCGTGTTAAAGATAGATTTAGATGAAAAAGGCGGTGTGCTGGTGTCTGCTGGAGCCCCGGAGCACCCTGGTATGGATCCCACGCGGCGCCTGCTGGTTTTTAGACACAATAATGTACGTTATTCAGGTAGCACCACGTCACACCTTCCTGTCTTCAGCGTCCAACTCAGAAACCTTCAGTCCTCTTTAAGAAAGGGACGTAGCTTCCATTTGCTGAGGCGTGCGCGTCCCCGAGGCGGCCTGTAAGAGGCGGGGCTTTTTTGGCGCCATTTGGGCTCCAAGCTCGGAATGTAGGGCAAACCCCAGCCACCTTAACAAAAAAAAAAAAAAACTTTCTCCCTTAAAAAATCACAGGTGCCCCGGCTCTCACAGGCGGACCTGGCCGCAGCCTAAAGGGCTATCAGCTGAGTCACTTTTATCCCACTTTGGTAGTTTGTAGTGGTGTGTCTGAGCACCGGGGGGCGCCGCAGAGCAAAGACGCAAAGGTCCACACACAGAGAGATGCTGACCTGAAATTTAGTTGAATGAATGTTAAAGGAAACGAATGTGAAATTTAAATTTTTAAAATTGCGCGAGAGATTAATGGTCGGTTCGTTTGAATTATATAATGAGCTCAATGTTTTACCAATGTGTTAGAGGACTTTATGGGATCAGATCAAGGATGCATGTGGTGGAGTTTGTGTGTTTCTTCTCTTCTTCACTGAGCTATTTTCTGCCATCTGCACTCTGGTTTCCTCCAACACCACTTCTACCCACACTGCCTGGGGGGCTCCTGAATGTATCCTGTCCCTCTTTTGAAGTGCTGTACAGTATGGTCAACCCACGCCTCATTCTCACTGTGGTTTGCACTTCTTGTCTTTGCCCACACGTCTTTGACATTTAACGCTTTGCATTAGAAACCCAGTTTGTTCCTCAGCCTAAAGGTCTTTTAATAGTAACTTTGACTTGTGAGAGCCTACGAGCTGACGCTAGTCTTCTTGTAGATACTTTTTCCTCATAGAGCAGGTTACCTGAACCAAACACTGATGCTACCACAATGTGAGAAACAGCCTTTCTGATCCACTTCCATCAGATTTTTTTATAGGAAACCATAGGTAGTAGCCTCATCTTGGTACAATGACCTTACCTGATGCGTTGCTATGACTCTTTCTGCTATTATTAATTTGTATGAAGCGATACGTTCTTTTTTGTCTTGTTTTGGATTGTTTCATATTGTTGGAGTCTTCCCTGTTAGCTTGTTTCTATTCACAACAGTAGAAGGACTCTTACCTGCTTCATTGTCATTCAGATGTGTACTGTAAAATTTAAATATACTATATATACTATATAAATACAAAATTAGATGTCCAGTTCATGTACTTATCAAGTAATAAGTAAAAAATAAAGACTTAATGTGAGAAATTGAGGAGTCAAGTGTCAAATCATTTACTGTGTGTTTTATCTGGAAGCTTTAAGCGCAGGCTGAACAGAAATAAATGTTTAAAATGTATTGATTTTAATAATCAAATATAATTTTTCTATATTCATTTAGATATGTTTTTTACATTTATTCAAGTTCAATGTCTTGGATACAGAGAGGCTCCCTCTCTGCAACACACTGGCACGAGTAAGTATGCCATAAATAAACACCTGCAAAATGCATGGAAATATAGTCAAATGACGAGGCCTGATGGTCTTTGAATGAATGTTTGACACTTCATACAGTTTCCAGGAGAATTCACTTAATCTATTTACGGAAAAAGACACTCATCTGGTACCGATAGGCTAAAATTCAAGAAACCAGAAAAAGAACATTCACAACTCCTGAACGTTTCCTTTTTCTTAGATCTTTAATTGACATGGAGTATTTTCTGAAGAATGAGCTGACATTATGGTCCAGTAAAAACACACATATATATTTTTTTTAAGGTAAATAATCCTGTTACTGAAACAAAACTTTGTAGGAGACCATTTTGGAGTCGCTGTAGGCGTGCAGCATCTGGTCCACTGGACTGTAGTTCAGAGACTGAATGTTGGGAGACATCTTATTGATGAAAATGCCAACGTTGAAGTTCTCCTTCCCCGTCACAGTGTCAAAAGAGTAGAAGATCTCTTCTGTTTTCTCGTCAACGTAGCGCGTCGCGTAGAGCACGCCGCAGACCACGAAGGTGTTGGTCGCACTCTGCTTGTAGACTGAAGTGTGCCAGGTTTGACCGATGGTGGGCTGCTGACCCAACTCCACCTTGGACAGAACCAGGTTGCCAAAGTCCTGGTTGGTGGTGTAGATCACCCAGACGCCGGACTCATCTGTAGCCAGGTCCATGTCAGTGTACGGGTAACATTCATCCAGTCGGCAGAAGTTCCCCTTTGAGTTGTACCTGAAGAGGAAGAAACAATGTTCCTTCTTCATTTGGTTGCTTCCTTTATTGACAAATAACACAGTTTTCACTTTGCTGCTCTGAATTCACATCAGATCATTTAAAAAAGATCTGAATTGATTTGATCCTGCTTGTCCAACGTTTTTCAGATGTTTCCTAAACTGAACTGATTTGACGTTTACAAGTAGAGAAGCAAAAGTACATAATGACACCCACCTGGTTCCTTTCGGTAGTGGCTGGGAGGTGACGACTTTGGTGGTGAGGTTGAATCGACAAACGGCGTCTTTGTTGTAACAGTTGTAGTACAAGGCCCCCCCGTACATCACCACGTTTGGACCCTGGATGGTGTTGGTGGTCGGATTTGTAGGGTGGATCTGAACATTTCCTGGCAGGAGAAAAAAAATGTAGGCTGAGAGCTCATTTCATTCAACACATAAAAGACAACAATGAATAAATAATGTTATTTATTAGTGTCTCTTTTTAAATGCGGTAAAAGCCCAATGAAAGCACCTGAAAACTCTACGACTTTAGTGACATTTGACTCTACTTTACTCATGAAACTGAGTAAATGTGTATGATTTTCTACATAAATGAGGAATAAATCTCCCATCTTGAAATGACCAAATCGCGAGACGGGGGGGCTGCTGAGCGAGAAGACATCCACTCTGCTTCAGTTTTTTCTGCGTAGTTTGGTGTATTTGCAATGAATTTCTATAATAACATTTGCTGTGACTTTGAGGTCGGTAAATAAGGTGAAATTGAACTGAATTCAGTTCCTGTGTATTTGTATTTGTTAAGTAAAGTGGTCTTGTTTTGGGCGGTGCACCTGCAAACTAAAAGCAGCCTCAGCATCCGTGGGGTCAAAGTTCAGACTCATACCTGGGGTGCTCACTCCAACAATGAGAGAGCTCAGAGAGGAGTACTGACGGACGTAGTGGGAGAATACGTTGCTGGCGGTCAGGATGACCATCCAGTGCCAGTTCTCTTTTCCGGGCTCTGGTTTGGGGTCCCGGCCCCAGGCGCCAAACTTGTACGAGCCGGGGTACTCCCCCGCCGTGTAGACCATTGGCCCCGAGATGTTCCGGAACTGACCGTGGGGACAAGGTGCTGCGAGATAATGTGAGATAAAACGGGAACAAATCAAGCTTCCACAGGCACAGCGACATTAAAAAGTCCCACTTCATGATTCATAAGGCCCCTGAAGCTCTCTGACCACGTCATCGGGATTCAGAAGATTTACCCTTGGGCAGCTGGGTGGGTTTGGGAGGGGGGAGAATCTCACTCCTGCACTGGTCCAGGTCCCTCTTCAGCCGCTGGTTGGCTTGCTGTCTCTTGACCACCTGCATGGTGTCGAAGGTCTCCAGATCCTGCATGTCGGACCTCAGATCCTGCAGCTGAACATGAGAACCAGGCAGGAAATTTACAAAACAATTAATAAACGATATGTGCCTATAAAGATACAAGACTTATGTCTTATCTTCACAAGTAATTTTGTATATATTTTGAAATAAATAATGAAACATACTGGTTGTATTTTATTGTTTTACAATTTCAGAAATTTGTATTGAGTGATTAAAATCCAAATAGACCTGAAACTAAATAAATGCTATTAAATTAATTGAAAGGTATGATGTGTATTTGTATTTTCATGTATTTGATGAAAAATAAAAGAAGAAATTATAAAGAAATTCAAATGCTTTCAGATATTCTTGTTGCTTTACTTTTTTTCGGCTCCTGTAACACACATTTAAAACACTAAAGAGACTCCACAGTAAGTAACGTAACTTCTAAACTACTTCTATTGAATGATGGGTTATTATGCAGCTTATCTGTTGGGTTATTTCCCATCCAGATCACATTTATGTGGGTTAGGGTTAGAGGCATCCGGGGTAAATAATAGGGTAAAGAAATGCCTCTTGATTCCTTGTGGGCATGGAGGCAGCAGGAACCTACCTGCTGAGTGGCCTGCTCAGCGAGCTCCTGATCAGCCAGAGAGGTGGCGTTCAGCTTGTCCATCAGCTGCTCGATCTCAAAAAGCTCGTTCTCTATGACGTGCAGGCTGAGGGCCCCGAACAGCTCGCCGTCGTTCTCCTTTTCCAGCATCCCCACGTCCTTCTCCAGTTGTGGCAGCCGCCGCTCCAAACCCAGCAGAAGACTCTCCATCTCAAAGGCCTGCAGACACGGCCCCCCCAAAGTCAGCATGCAGGCAGACTCACAGCATCGGGGGATGTGGGGGGGGTTAGTGGGCGATTACCTGGCCCGGGGTGACGTTGCTGTTGCAGCCGGAGGCGTCCTTCTGCAGGGCGGCCAGCTTTTGGTGAGGGAAGGCCTTCTCCGAGCTCACCACATCGCACGTGCACCGTTCAGGGGATTCTGCCTGAAATCCCAGGTGAGGGGAACCAGAGGTGAAACAGGGGCGCTGGAGGTGGATGGACAAGAGAGGCTGGAGGAGGGTTTCTTACCTGCTGGGTGAGCGTGAGCAGGGCGCACAGCGGGAGGACGGCACTCAGCCTCATGACGGGTCAGAGAGCAGAGCCACAGGAGTCTGAGCCGGCCGGAGCGTCTGCCCGGAGCTCAAGGTTCTACTTGTAAACACTCCCACTGCGTCGCTGGGTCACTTCCTCTTTGTGGTTTTGGACTTTTTTTTGCAAATGATGAAAAACTGATGGTCTCGTGTTCAGGTGCAAGAAGGTGAATGCAAGAGTGGACTTTTTGTTTCAGCACACGTGTTGCTCAAGACCAGAGAAACATCCTCTTTCTCAAACTGGTCCTGGACAAAATGTGCAGAGCAGTACTTTCTGTCTACAACAGGTTATCAGCCAAAGGTTTTGAAATCATGAGTTATGATTGGATTTCGACTGTTTACGGTCCACACAAATATATAAGGTTCAATTAAAAAATCTGCAATGCCGGATAAATTAAGCCTCAGATACACAGTATTAGCCAAGCTACACTAAACTAAATAAGGATAAGATAAAAGATGCTGTTTAAGATAATATAAGCAATAGCTATATAAACCAATGTCTATGACTCAACTGTAAGACACCAACTAAATGAAATGGGGTTTCCAGGCAGAAAAATTATTTATTAGTCAGTAAATTACATCTATAAAGCTAATTTACCGATAAAAATTGGGACCACAAATGTCTGGACGAAGAAAAGCTGAAAAAGCTGACATGCTGTCCAATTCCTGGAATCACTTGATCAGGAGAAATAACCAAAGCTCTGTTTTATCAGTATTCAGCTGAAGTAAGATTTTACTTTGACACAGATTAATTAATTGGAGTCATGAGACAGGCGGGCTTCATGTTGCAATAATGTGATTTTTTTAGGAAGTTTGCAGGGATGTACGTGCAGTTTCTATGCTGATATGTGCAACCAGGATTCAGGAAAAGGAAGCGACCCCTTCACTCAGGTCTGAGAAAATGCAATCAGAATAAAATCCTGTGAAGAGGAAACATCATGATGATTAGTTTCATGAAAAAACCATCCAGACAGAACACACATAAACAGGCCTCTGTGTACACTATGTCTTTCCATGCCTGTCCATTAATGCTGGGTTTGGGGTCTTTGTCCTGGTGGTGGTCCAGTTTCAGCCTCACATCTGACTCTGAACACTTTGGTGTCCAGAGGAGTTCATGGTGGACTCCCAGGTCCTGATGCTGCAGAACCAGCCCAGATCATCACGCCTCCCCCACCGTGCTGACATGCTGGGTTTGCTATTCTGTGGATTCTGAGCAAAATAGAACCCCTTTGGTCTGCTCTCATCCAAAGGACTCTGTTCCTGAAGTCTTTGCAGACCTGAGCCGTGCTGCCAGGTTTTTGTTGTTGTTTTTTTTACTGGTGAAGAGGCTTCCTCCTTCAGCCCAAACAAACAGACGATGCAGGACATGTTCAGATGTTGTTTACCTGAATTTAAAAGACCCGGTTCACACCAGATGATTATTTTATTCATCATATCCTGGTCCTCATAGTAAAACCTTATAATTTAGTGACACGGTACTTTACACAAGAGTGTTTTTTACATTCAACCTCTCCTCTCATAACAGGATGAAAACGTGTCCTCTTGCATAAGAAGAAAATGAAAACGAAGAACTTTTATGCTTGCAACTTCCATTGTGAAACTCTATTGCTTAATTTCCTTTTTTTTTTTATTCCAAATCTGTGGGAAAGGTTTTGAAGTTCTGGAGGTCTGTGAAACTCCGGTGAGGGAGTGTCTTGTTGTTTTCAGAGAAAAGAGAAGGAGGAGGTATGCTGATTTCAGTGCCTTGTGAATTCCTCCTGCTGTAAAGATGCTGCTGCTCCTGCTGGTGCTCGTGTTCACAGTGAGTTACCATTTATTTCCATTCACACAAAATGATCAGGAGCTGCGAGATACACAAGTATCTCACAGAAAAATTTGATTGTTATCCTTCTGAATCTTCTTTGTAATCCGTTAAAAAGTAAATGTCTCCTCAGTCTTTGTCTTACTGGTGTTTCTGTGTGTGCCAGCAGGATGACGGCCAGGCTGAGAAAGTGTTTGGCCTGAAGAAAGACGGTGTGTGCCGGTGCCAGGTGAACTCCACCACGTGGTCGTTCCCTGCTGAGAAGTATGAAGCCGTGCTGCAGCAGGTCCAGACCTGCGAAGGGTCTTTGAGAAACCTGCAGGAGCAGGTAGGCACCGACACGTAGCTGTAATCATATCAGACTTCACAGCTGTATTAACAGTATAACACAGAACATATCAAATTTGTATTGTTTTATTGCGCATCATGAAGCTGCTCCACAGAAAAATGTTCTTCATTTAGTTTACCTGAATTCTATTGATTTTATTATTGAATTTCTGCCACTAAGTCAGTCAATGAGATAATTCAGCAGTTCAACTGGATACATATGGATTACATTCACAGGTTCTGTTCTAAATATATCCCAAAAAAAACAAGAAAAACAATATGAACAGTTTCAAGTCTTAACCCTTTAAAACCTGATCCAAGAAAAAAATTGAGGATTTTTATAGTCTTTATTTGGGCATTTAACCAAATATGAAAAAAAATCAACTGAAATAATTTTAATATTTTAGTATTCATAATTTATTACCGATTGATAAGGAAAAATGAATGTTGTGTAGTCTCCCACTACTTTCAGGTATATCTGATTGTGTACAACAGGGTTTGGAGCAGTCTGATCTTCTTTCGGATCCTGAGTTGGAAAATTCAGACTGAACAGATGTTATATTTTAGTCTGAGCACAGGGTTTCCCGTCTGTTCCTTGCAGGTGATGATCTCCGGTCAGCGTCTCCCTCAGATCAAAGCTCGGGTTGAGAACGTGACGGCACGCCTGCAGCCTTTCCGGTACTTGCTCAACCAGGGCCTGTACACGGCGCTGTCCCTGCACCGGCTGAGCGAGGAGCTCGGCGTGCTCGAGGCAAACATAGGAGCCGTCCACAGCCAGCTGAACAACACCCAGACAGAAAAACTCTCCAAAGAGGTGCAGCAAAGCACTGAAAAGATTTTAAATTACAGTAATACTGTTGGTTTTTCCAGGTCCTGCCCTTTGTTCCAAAAACTGGAAAATAAGAAGAGTAAAAAAATCCTTTGGATTTGAAAATATTGAGCATTAATTGAAAATTAAGTCCTTCTTCTCATTAGAGTATCTGTCATCAGATGGGAAAACAGATCAAAAGCAACACTGATTTTCCTGCTTAGATTTTCCACTTCAGAAAAAGTGAACTTGGCATTTTTCTGTTAACTTTTGATGGTTCAAACGTGGCGCCATCTAGTGGTCAAATATAAAAAGATAGATAGATAGATAGATAGATAGATAGATAGATAGATAGATAGA